TGGTCTAGCCAAGTTGACACACACATTTTTGGGGGGATGCAATTTAATCCATAGCAAACCACTAGGTTCAGTGATTCGCTAAGAGGACTTCCAGGGGTCCCATAACTATACCCAGAGCTACCCATAACTGACAGAGTCTAGGAAGGATTTTCCCCTAGAGAGCGCATAGCCCTGCCTATGCCCTGAATTTGAACTTCTAGCCTCCAGAAGTGTGAGACAATAAATTTCTGTACTTTAAAGCCACCCATTTTGTGGTGGAGACAAAGACACTACCCAAATGAATGTCAGTGGTAAAATGGAAAATCAAACAGTTGAATATTCACACAATTTAATACTAGACAGCGGTGAGAATAAATAACCCCAAAATAAAAAACACGGATGACTCTCACAAACAAGGTTGAGTGAAAGAAGTCAGACCCACAAGAGTATATACTGTTTTCTTGGGTTTTAAATGACAAATATAACATATACTCATTAGAAGAAGTTCAAGCACTAGAAGAATATTTAAAATACAATAGAAAGTCACGCCTTACTCTGCTCCCCAACCGCACTGTAATACAGTTGGGCTTATATCCTCTCTAGACCTTTCTCTATGTGATCAGCTTCTTGCGTTTGTTCTGCTGTGAATGGGCTGTTCATCTCTCTTCCCATATTTTGTCTCCTTTGGACATAATTCACTTATTTATTATGTTTTATTGATTATTTTCTAAAAGGAGAGGGATCTTTGCTTTGTTCGCAGATGTTCACCCAGAAAAAGTCCTAGAACATAGTAGGCACTCAACAGAGATTTGTTGAACCGATGAATCTGTTTCCTAAGCCGACGGGTAGGGCATCAGCAGGGAGGACGCCCGGAGGAGCACAGTCTCCCATAGGAAATCATTTCCAGCTGATGGCAAAACCTCAATTCGAGCAGGATTCAGCACTATCATCCTTTGGACAGCTCTGGAAGCCAAGCCCTCCAGGAACCGTTCCTCTAGGGACCCAGTTTCCCGCCGGAGCAACTTTGCGAATGCGCCCGTCGCTCAGAGGGAGGAAACTACTTTCCCGTACCGGCAAAGGAGGCGCGCTCGCAAGATGAGTGGCAGCGTCGTCAGCCAATGGAGTGAAGGCGTCGGGCCAGCGGCGCTCCGGGCGGTCAATCGGCAGGGCGTGGGCGGGGCGGGAGGAAGCGGCGCGCCGAGCGGAGGTCGGCCGGGAGTCGCGGCTGGAGGGTCGGGGCCGCGCAGCGGTTGAGCGGAGGGCGGCGCTGGCTGGCGGGCTAGGG